ATGATATTCACGCCCATGATATTCACGGGTCTGTCGGACGTGTGCCATTTGTTCGGTCGTAGCACGCGCGACGACGAGAATCCCAGGAGCGAACCGATGTTGTTCGGTTTCGTGAAATCGATTTGATGCTCGCACCTGATCTCGCTTCTCATAGTGTTCTCATTGGGTCGAATGATCAGAGACCGCGCGCTTCTCTCGCCCTCGTCATTCTCGTCGTAGACGATGTCGTCGCTCTCGTCCTCTTGCTTGCTCTTTCGTCGATCTTTCGCTTTTTAGAGATAGCGGCGTTTAAATATCTGTCTATCGCACTTAATTCGTACGAACCCTCGGGAATCACGATCGTTTTGTCGTTGTAATAGAACTTATTATTCGTGGAATCGACGTTCGGTATAGTGTACGTTTCGAAATTCATGAGACCTAACTCGTAATCGTCGCTCAGATCTAAAGCGGGAAAATAGCACGCTGTGAGAACGCTACTCTTAAACGAAAGGCTCAGCGACATCGCGACTGATTCTCAAGAGAAATCGCAGGCACAACTGACCGCAAATGCTCTACGTACGTCTGATACGATCCGCAATTGTATGTTATATTTACGCCGCCGAGATATCTTTCGAGTTCCCTCGACGGTCGAAGATTGCCGAAACTGTCGAAGTAAATCGCGTCGTTTCCCCTCTTCGCATAGGCGACCCCATCGAGTCGTCGAGATTCACGATGTCGCTCTCGTTACGCCTTCGATGGTAATGCGTCACGCATAAACACTCCTCTGAAGAAGGGTACTCGTAGACGACGCGCCGAGCAGTTCAGCTGTTCGTTCGTCGTAATGCCGGAGAGCGGTAACTGGAGCGATCCTAACGTTTCCTTCCATGATTTTTTTTTTTTTCGTTCTTCTCGTCACACCGCTGCCACCTTTGTAAGGCGCTAGATGCAATCCGTGACCCTCCATCGCTCGATTGTGATGTTGCAACTCCTCCAGTTGACGCCGTGCGGTTTTACTAGCGTTCACCGCCTTCGCGACACCCGCCGCGCCACCGATCAAAGAACCGAGCGCGCCTAATATTGGAAAAATGGAAAACAAGCCTTCGCGTTTCACCATTGGAAGTATCCTCCTCCTCGTTGTCGTCTTCCTTTTCTTCTTTCTCAAACTGATGCCTAGCTTTGTCTTTGCTTTCATAGCAGCCCATATGGCGATCGCGGCGGCTCTTTCGCCGAAGGTGAAATCTCCGGCCGTTATACATTCCCGCGCTTTCTCGGCGAGAGTTCGGTCGGCGTCGTGGCGATCGGCGAGTTTCTTATTTCGCGAATAGGCGATGTCGTGCTCGCAGCACGCCGCGTCCAACGGATTTACGCCTCGATCGCCGCGCGCCAATCGCTTCGCGATGGGTGCCGGGCCCGCAAAATTGATACCCGGGAATATGTCTATATGCGATTGTTGCCACGGACGATTATAATACTCCAGACACACGCGACAACGTTGTTGACCTCGGGGTCCGCTCTCAGATGATCAGGTAGTCTGTTCCACAGTAGCTCCACGTATCTGTCGAAATCGTGCACGAGAACGAACTTCGGGATAAGTCGCAACTGTTGGGTGGATAGATTGAGAATATCGCGTTTGTCCGTCAATAGGGGAAACATACCGATCACTGTGCGCGATCGAATCGCCGTCGAGTATAAGTGGAGCGATTATCGGTCGCGTTTCCTCGCAGCCAGCGCGCGTAAATTCGTTCGACGATCGCCGGCTATAGGAGTGCTCAATTTCGACCGTAAGGCTCGACGAATCTCGGGCGAGCGGTCGGGAGGGTGCGCAGACATGGCCCTCTACTACTGAACACGATACGTTGCATCATTTGCAGCTCCTCCAATTGCGGTAAAACGAACGTTGATAAACATGCTCGAAAGTCCGCACGGCGCGCGCTTTGAGAACGTGTACGTCTACTCGAAATCTCTGCAACAACCAAATCGATACCTGGCGGAACTGCTCGAGTCAATGGACGAAATCGGCTATCGCGCGTTCTCAAACAATAGCGACGTCGTGCCACCGAGCGAGGCGCTTCCCGATTCGATATTCGTGTTCGACGACGTGGCCTGTGACAAGCAGAACGCGATCAGGGAATATTTCGCCATGGGTCGACACTCGAACATCGATTGTTTCTATCTTTGTCAGACATATGCTAAAATTCCAAAACACCTAATACGTGACAACGCGAATCTCTTGATTCTGTTTAAGCAGGATGGCACTAACCTAAAACACGTTTACAACGAGCACGTGAACACGGATATGTCGTATGAGAATTTTTATGCCTTGTGTCGCGCGTGTTGGAAACGCAAATATGCTTTCGTAGTCATCGATAAAGACAGCGCGTTAAGGAATGGTAGATACAGACGAGGATTTAATGATTTCGCCGTGGTGTAAAGCGATCAGTTGTGCTACGAGGATGGACGTTGACGCTGCTGCGAGTATGAACGTTGACGCTGCGGTTGGTACGGACGTCGCTCGGCAGAAAAAAACGGCGCGAGAGATCGCGAAGACTCAGAACTCTATACGTAAAAAGTACAGAGAGTTAAAGACCGATGTGATAGAAGAGGAGATCGCGTTGGAGAGGTGACTCAAGCCGATCGTTCAGCCGTTGAAACGAATCGCCGAGAACATCGCGCGAGACGAGTCGACCGAGGGAATCGACCCGATCGCGTTCGTCGGCGTTAAGAGGAAACGCGAGACCGATGACGACGACGAGCCACCGTCTAGATCGACGAAGAGACGCCTCTCGACGAGATCGCCCTTGATCGCGACTGTGAGTCCCGCGACTAGAAATGAATCGGAAGAATCGATCTCGAACGCGCAATGGGGACCGTTAACAAATATATCGCAAATATATGGGCGCGCTTCTAAGCGGGGACAGACAGAGCGTGATCGATCACATTTACGGGGTGTACTTCGACTTGGACGGCTCGATGCTCTGCGACAGGCGATTCGACGTGACCGCCGACGACAGCGTGATCGTGGGCGACACGCGATATCCGGGTACCCTGGGCTTATACGAGTTGATCTTCAAGAGACTTCCCAACGCCGTGTATACGGAGAACGACAAACAAACATACAAGAGTATATTGTTAACTACGAACGCCCATCGGCGTGATCACAATGCGCTTATGCTCATTCTAGGAAACAAAGATTTCAAGTACAAGCATATCATCGCGCCGCTGTTGCTCGATAGAGACAAAAGTGGCACTGGTACTGGTAAAGCGAGAAAAAAAGAGATCGACTCTGTTCCATCCGCTATGCGGGTGAGAGACAAAGGAATCGAGTACGTTCATTGGGACGATCCCAACGAACTAATCGATCGTCTTCGATTGCTCGATGCCTCTAGACGAGCTGCAACGACGCTCACGACAACGAGATTCTATCGATACTCGAGGAGCTTCGCGAGATCGACGCGATCGAGTAAAACGCGGCGCGCGCTCGCAGCGACCGATATTCCCGTTATGTTGGTGAACAGTTCGGAAGACCATTGGAGTCGTTCGGCGGAGGTGACAGGGCACGCTCGCGACCGTCGATCGATTCCTTGCGTCGCTATGTGCGTAATAACGCGCTCTGTCTAAGACGATTACTACGACGCTAGAAACAAAATCATACGGCGTTTAGCCACACCTAGAACCGATACCGACGCCGCGAGTAAAAGCTACGTGGACAGCACGTTTCGAGACGCGGAAACGAAAATCTCCGAGACGAGCGAATTCTCGGCGAGCACTCGAACGTTGCTGTCGGAGATAAACGAGAGCACGGTTAGATCGATCGGCGAATTGGAGGAATCTATGACGCGCATAGCCAGATTATTTCTCAAATACGATATGCAGATCGCCGAGATTACGAGCAGATTATCGCACGCGATAGATTCATCACGCGAGGGCATGATGTCTGTGAACAAATTCGGGAAGTCTCTGGAGAGGCAACGCGGCGATCGTTCGACGATCGCATCCCTGCGGGCGTATGTGCGTCGCAACGCGCTCTGCCTTAATCCGGATGACTACGATGTCAACAGACGCAAGATACGCTATTTGGATACACCGATCGACGATACCGACGCGACGACCAAGGGTTATGTCGACGACGCGCTTCGCGTAAGGAGCGAGGAGTCGAAAGTTCTAACAAACGAGCTACGAAAACAGCTGGAAGATATGAACAAGCGAATTCGGAATATTCTCCTACGGTATTACGACGTAAAAACCGCAGTGGACGTTCTGCGATACCTCGAGAAAAAGAGTGAAGCCTCGCTTGTCGATCACGACAAACGAATAGAGGAGACAAGAGACGCGGTGGAACGAGAGCTCGAAAAACAGGACGAATCGCGAGAGAAAGATCTGAGCGAGATCCGAAGGATCATCGAGACGCTCGGTGACGCTCAGGAGAAACGAACGCGAAATCTAGAGGAATCACTGCGACAAATCGAGGAGAGGAGGGAGGCCTCGCTCGTCGATCTCAATAAACGAATAAGGGAAACAAAACAAGCGCTCGATAAACGGAACAACCACGAATTAAAGATCTGCTCATGTTTCAACGTGAGCTGGGACGAACGGAGGAAAAATAGGACAAAGTGCGAGCTAGAGACTTGAGCGAGATTCGAAAGACCGTCGAGACGCTCAGCGACACTCAGGAGAAACGAACGCAGATCCTAGAGGAATCACTGCGAAATCTAGAGAAATCCCTGCGAAACGAGATCGACGCGTCGTCGACGAGCCGCGAGAGAATATCGACGAACGTGGAGAATCTCGCGCGTAGCGTGACAGATCTGACGAAAATCGCGAGAAAACTGACGGACAAAGCGGTAACGTGAGAGCTGGATAAAATAGGATATGACTAGAGAAACGATAAACGAATTACTAATCGCACTAAAAACGGATATTTCAAATACCATGAAACACGCGATTAATGTTTGGAACGAGGAACAGGAGCGAACGCGTACGAATAAAACCAACGCGAATCGCGCCTTCTCGTAAAATCAGCGATGACCGTCAAGAAGAGGAGACTCGTCGAGGAGCTTCACGCGCCCGCGCGAAGAAACTTTCCGCGTCGTCGAGTCGTGGTGTGTTACAACGACCTGTGGCAGGCCGATGTCGTCGAGATGCGTCCGTACGCGCGACGAAACAAAGGCTACAACTACGTGATGACGATCATCGACGTGTTGAGCAAATACGCGTGGATTGTGCCGCTGAAGAGCAAGAGGAAGCGAGGTAGCCGCGGCGTTATCCAAGATATTTCGCGACGACGCTCGACATCCGCGAAATCTACAAACGGACAAGGGCAAGGAGTTCTATAATGCCTCCGTAAAAGCGGTTACTGATAGGTACGATATACGCCACTACTCGACGTACTCGGTGATGAAGGCGGCGGTTGTGGAGCGATTTAATCGCACGCTCAAGAACAACATGTGCAAGCTCTTCACGCTCAACGGATCGTACAGAGCTTGACGCTCTACCGCGTTTAATCTCGGAGTATAACAACCGCGCGCATCGAACGATCGGAATGCGACCGGTGGACGTAACTCCAACCATTGCCAAGAGACTCCTCTCCACGGTATACAGTCACTTGAAGATCGCAGCCCCCGCAAGATTCAAAGTGAACGATTCGGTACGCGTCAGCAAGTTCAAAACGATTTTCGAAAAGGAATATACGCCTAACTGGACGACTGAGATTTTTCGAATCGCTAAGGTGCAACGCACGAATCCCGTGACGTATCTGCTGAAAGACTATCGTAAAGAGCCAATAGCCGGAGGATTTTACGAACACGAGTTACTGCGAGTTTCCAATCCCGATATCTATCTCGTTGAGAAAGTGCTACGTAGAAAAAACGATAGAGTTTTGTCAAATGGTTAGGAATGGACAATACACATAACTCTTGGATTCACAAAACAGCTGTATTGTAATGAATAAAGAGTGTACAGTATTACTTATTCTACATTGGTACAAATTTTTTATACTACATCAGTATCTAATAACGGTATCTTATAATGGCCCCACGGTAATGTATTGGAGTCGGGTATTAAGTATCGCTTGTCGTCGTGAGGACTCAAAGCTAGCTTTAGTTCGGACACGGTGTAAACTTCGTGCAGCGTCGAGCGTATGCACGCCTGACGTCTCGATTGCTGCGACGATTCGTTCAAGCAACGTGTGAAATCCTCGAACATTATCGTTTTCGCGACGGTACTCCTCTTGATGCCCTTTATTCTCTTCGTATCGCTCTTTCCCAAAACTCTCAGAGCGTACATCTTCGCCCTAAGTCCTATGATCTCATGATCGCTCCGTTGTTCTCGTCTTTCATCAAACCAAGAACCTTCTTATTCACGCGCGGTATATCGTACGCGTTGTTGTCGGAATAATCGCTGGTGTCGAATCTCGCGATATCTCGCTTCATATTCTCGTAAACGTTTCGACATTCCAGAAAATATATCAAGCTATCAAGGTATCCGTGTACATGATTTTGCATTTAAAGCGATAAAGCGGCATCATATAATCGTAATGAAAATTGTACAATCGCATTTTGGATATCTCTAGAATGCACATACCAACGTAGATTGGTTTGTTAAACTGAACCTCGAGTTTGCGCAACTCGATAGCCATGAGATTCTTGTCGAAAACGCTCCTACTGTGAAAATTCGGTTTCGCGATCAGCGTCTCCGCGCCATATCTTCCGTCCCAACGCGTCACGAGTCTCAGGTCTACGTAATTGTGCACGTTCTCCATTATTTTGCCGAAAACCGCGTTGTTCATCAGCTTATACAGATTCCTCTCGAACTCGTTGCTCGCGCAAGTTCTCCGTTCCGTATTGAGCTCGATGTACGCGCGCAATCAAGAAGACTGCGCGAACCGCAATGCGCGATAGATCTTCGTCACCCATAAACCGTGTCGCACGCATTGCTGAATATTGCGATAATGCGTCACGTAACGCGACTTGTCGAGTAGAGCGTGGCGAGTAGCTTTTCGTTTCGACTTCCCGGCGGTCTCTCGCGCGTCGGACAGAACGGAAGATCCGCGTGGTCGTCATGAAGATATCGCGGATACTCGAGATCGACTTCTAGAATATAACCGATATCGGAGTCAGATGGCACGGACATAATATCAAGACCTTCGACATCCTCGACCCACCGAAATTTCGCATACGATAAAGGTTCGCACATGGCCCAGCCGTAGAGATTGTTCACATCGTAGTACATGAGATACGACGACGGCTGAGACGAGTCATATGACGATTCATATTGGTTATTAACTCGCGCGTATCTGTTCGAGCATTGACTTAAACCGCCGCGTATACCGCGCTCTACGAACATCACCATATCGATATCGGTAAGCAGATCGAATCGAACGTTCGTGTATTTGAACATAGCGTCCCACGTATATCCCGGTAATGTGAAATAATGCGCTGGATCCAAATCGTAACTTTCCATACAAGTATCTCAAAAATTTTCAAAAACATCCGCCAAGAGAAGCACATCCGTTTTCAAATATAGATCGCTGTATTCGCCGAGAGTTTTCACGTGAAAACGCTCCCATACCCTTCGCGCGTATTCATAATCACTAACGCTTACAGTTTCGCCAGTTGAAGAACTGTGAAAGGCTTCGATCGGCGGTAACTCGGTCATTAACAATTTATCAACGCTATCGATGTATTCATACGGAAATACGCCCTTGCGCATGAGCAACTCGAAATCTTCCGCGATGAGATCGGAAAATTCGAATCACGAGATCCTCAATTTTTCCCTATCTAGATACGAAGCTACTTTTTCTAAACTAGTATTAAGAAACGAATCCACGAAACGTAGCTTAACACAAGTTTTCCATTTTCCGTACGCCGAATCGTTGACAATTTTCGAAAACGCGATGTAATTCTCCTTAGTCAATGGTAACAAATCGACTCTACCCTCGAAAGCGTTCGCTATATCCTTAATAATGAAATGTGCATCGTAACCGGATAGATTGTGAAAAAAAAACGGGAATAACGAACGCGTTCTGATAGTTCAAATTGCAGCTCGCGTGCGCGGGTCCTCTGCATCGTCCGATAAGATGACAGTGATCGCGCACGCGAATATCGTACGATTCAAAGCTCCTTCCGCACACGTGACAATTTGTCGCCTTTTGAAAAGCGCTCCGCTCGTTCGGCGTGAATTCCGACATCGGTACGCTCGCGCACAGAATCTTCTTCACGCGACACGCGAGAGCGCGCAGCTCCTCGACGAACCACGAGACGCAGTCGTCACCTCGGCGAGATCTATACGCGGATACGATTCCGTTGTACGTGCTACGCAAATAATATCCTATGCTAAACGCCTTGTGGTGTTGATAGGCGAATCTATTGTCGAGACTCCCACTGAACCATTAATCTCCCTTTTCTAAAACGCACTCCAGATCTGCATACACGACGAATCGTAGTCTCTCCTTTCTGTCGTGATTGTGAAAAGAGAGCAACTTGTTGTCCTCGCTCGGAAGAATAACGGCGCAGTCGTTCGCTCTTCCGTACTCGACGCTATGCGCAATTTCTCGTTTAAGTAAAAATAATGTAGACATCTGAAAAATACAATTTATAATTAATACAAAATTTATCTCGCTGACGAACATAAGCTCTCTTACGCTTACCGGTCGCATATGTATTTTTTTCCTTATGCTTGTTTATTTGAGACGTTAACAGTCGAGACAGATGCTTTATCCATACGAAATGACCGACGTTATCGCCGCGTCACTTGTTCGACAGATAGAGCAAATTTACGTGCGTAGACTTTTTGTTCCCCGTAAGCAACAAAGGAACGATCATGATATCGTTCCTCCCCGTTTTCTCTTGAATGGCAAATACGTTAATAGACAAATCGTTAAGACGTTCGAATCTAGCGATGTTTCGTAGTGTCATAGGAAAGTCGATATCATCGAAATTCAGCACCAACGAATAGTGAGGATATGACGACGGTCTATCCGAGTGTAGATCAACGGGATATAGAGCGGCCATCACCGCCCACGTGAAACACGCGTTGTCGTGTGAACGTACATTAATCACGGCTCTCTTATATCTTATCTTCGGAGGAAGTAACATCCAGCGTGTATAGGATTACACTTATTTACATTGATCATTAAATTTAATATCCGAAGTAACGCCCAACCGCTATCACGTTCCTGAAATTCCTCCAGCGACGTCAGAACAACATTCATAACGTCTCCGTCGTACCATTTTCGTAGATCGGACATACCGAATAGCTGACAATTCCTCGTGCGAATGTTCTTAACAGCGCTCTTATCATTCGCGACGAATTCCCCATGAAACATAGTGTTGAACACTCCCCTTTAAACACGCGTGCATATCGAGATCGACTTGCACTCGCTCGAGCACCGTGGCCCTTCCTCAAGAAACCGTCGAGGTTCGATGTACTCGATGTTTACCACAGCACTCGTTCGTACGCGATTCGCGAAAGCCGTCTCGATATCCACCCATTCGAATCCCTTCGAACCATCGTATCCTGCACCTAAGTAACTAAAACGTCGACTCAAAGCGAATCTCGCACTCTCCAACTGCGCTACTCGAGAAATCAGAGAATTTATCGTTCCAGTAACCGTAGGATCGACTCTATTCTCACATCTACCTCTCAAGACCTCGAGACACTCGATACACTCTTGTTCCCAAATACGATAGGCGCACACTCCTTCAACTCCCGCTGCGCGTTCGAGAAGATCGCGACTCTTCTCCATATCGCAACTTCCCACACTGTGTTACCCCAACCGTCCATAGGAACAACGAATTTAACGTCTCGAACTTTTCTCTCTCTCGCTGTTCTTTCATAGATCACCGCTCTGTCGCTCAGAACGAGCAACGTTTCGATCCACAGTTTCTCTCGCGGACTCTCCGTACCGATCTCCCGTCGCAAGTGATACGTGGTCACGTTCCAGCGAACATCTTCCCTCGCCACGATCCACTTCTCGTCGTTACCAGGCGCGATAGTCTCGTAACACTCTAAACTATCGTCACTCTCGATAATCAACTCGTAACGATCGTCGTCGAGATCGCGATACGTCACGTTGCGATCGAACGCGTGTAAAAACGAATCGTCGCTCTCGCTCGAAGACGAACCACCGTTAAGTGCGACTTCTTCCATATACGTTTTTAACAATGGGAAAAAATGCCTCTCATGACTAGATATGTACCCCGAGGCAGCATCGAAAACGCGACAACCGCGACATTCCGAAATACGCGCGGCATCCTACATAATCAGAACGCGCGCCTTCCCATTGCCGCGAAAACAGGATGCGCTAGATCCCCGTGGAAACCGTCTAGACTCAGAACGCGCCTAACCGCAACCTACAAATAGTTCTTTCCTCTTTTTACGTGCCTGACAAAATAATACAACAATAGAGTAATAAAATAATACAACAATAGAGTAATAAAATATTCTCTCGTCATTAACACTCCTACGACGATTCCCTCCTCGCGCGA